TCTACTCCCCACTCTGTCTCTGGTAAATCCTCTCACATCTCCCCCTTCCCCTGCACCTCTGGCCTATACCTCAGTTCTTCTACATAAAATAAATAAAATAAAAAAATCTTTTAAAAAAAGACACTCATTTATTTTTGTACCTACGAAATATTAAATCTCATCTTTGGATATGTTCCATACTTTCTCCATTCTTACCAGTAAAAAATCTCTCAAGTGTAAAGACAAACATAAATACCAATAGCCTAGTGATCCACTTGAAACAGAAGAAAAGAATATGCACAGATCTATTGAAAAGAAAACCCAACAAGGACTGTAGACAGGTCTAGACCATATGGAAAACAGTATGAAGTTTTCTAAAAATATTAAAAATAGATCTACCATATGATCCAACAATTCTACTCCTAAGTATCTATCCCTAAAATACCAAAACATTAATTTGAAGGGATAAATGCATGCCTATGTTTGCTGCACCACTATTCACAATAGCCAAGCTATGGAAACAACCTAAATGCCCAAAGACAAATGAGTAGATTTAGACATGACCTATATGCTATATGGAATACTACTCAGCTATTAAAAAAGATGAACTTTTCCCATTTGCACTAACTTGGCTGGAACTGGATGGGATTATGCTAAGTGAAATAAGGAGAATGAAATATCAGATGATTTCACTCACATATGGAATATGGAGAAACAAAGGAATATCCAACTAAACCAAAGCAAACCCTAGAAATCAGTCTGTAGAGTTGAGGCTACCAGATGGGGAATGTGCAGGGTGGAAGAAAGAGATCAAGAGTCCAAAGGATTATGGTGAAGAATGGCAGGTACTGAGGTGGTGGGTGGGGTGTGGTGACCCTGCACCTCTGAATTATTTTTGGTGTTGTAAAATAATCTTTCTCAAAATATGATACATGATGTTCTTAAAGAAATACATGATGTTCTTAAAGAAATAATACAAAAATTGGGCCTCCCTGGTAGCACAGCGGGTTGAGCGCAGTGCTGTGAGCTGTCTGCAGCCTCTGCAGTGCAGGTTCGATTCCCAGCCGGCCAGAGAGAGACCCACATGGCGCAGCAGACCTCTCCTGTCTCGCCCGCTGCTCCCCTTAGCGGTGTCTTCCGGCCGTCTGTGTGTTCTCTCCCCACTCTGTCTCTGGTGAATCCTCTCACCCTCCCATGCCTCTGGCCTGTACCCCAGTTCTTATATAAATAAATAACTCTTTAAAAAATACAAAAGTTGTCTTCTGTTTTAGATTTAAAGGAGTAGAAAATATACATGAAACTCTACTTCTCCATATATGATTCCAACAAAGATCACTTATATTGCAACAATTGAAAAATAAGTTGACACTAAATGTTCTCAGTGCACGGGCACAAATCCCCAACCAAGAAGCTGAAATACTTGGAAACTTTTTGGAAGCTGCTATCTCAGAATTCACCCTGGTTTCTGTCTGCATGGTGGTGATGCCATAGGGAGGGTGGAAGTGGACTGCACATGTGGCTAATGCTCAGGCACAGATTTTAGGGGACTGCTACCTGCTTTTGGAAATCGAGGATTCTGGCCTGCTTGTGTCTAATTGTCATTTCTGAGAATTATATTTACCAAACTGGCATTCATCTGGGAAGGTGGATTTTACTGTTTAGAAAAATGTTACGGATGAAAAATATCATCTGCCTTTTTAGAATTGGAACAAGTTTCAGAAGAGAGCAAAGATTTCTAAAGGGTTCACTTCAGGAAATTACAATACAGTAAGCCCTCACTTAACATTATTGATAGGTTCTTAGAAACTGCTACTTTAAGGGAAATGATGCATAGCAAAACCAATTTGACTCAAGGCTAATTGATATCAGCAAGAATTTAGTTCCTACAGCTGATTATGGTGACAAAAACATCACCAAACTTCTAAATAAAGATTAACACACTTCTAATATTCACTAATCATTTGCATTCATTCATTCATTAATTCATTCACTTTCCAATCTGCTTATTCCAGTTCAGAGTCTCAGGTGGTCAGAACCCATCCAGAAAGCTCAGGAAGCAAGCAGGAAATCAACCCTGGGCAGGATGCCCTTCCACCACAGGGCACATCACACACACCCACATTCATGCCCACAGGGATAATTGAGAGGCCAGTGAATCTCACATGCACATCTTGGGACATGGGAGGAAATTGGGGTACTCAGAAAACTCACACAAATATAGAGAGGAGAACGTGCAAACCCACAGAGAGTAACCTGGCCAGGATTTGATTTTTTTTTTTAAAGATTTATGTATGTATGCATGTATGTATTTATTTATTTTATTTACTTATATAAGCACTGGGTACAGTCAGAAGCGTGGGAGGGTGAGAGGATTCACCAGAGCCAGAGCGGGGAGCAGAGCAGGCAGAAGGACCAAAGTACACTGCTGAGGGGAGCAGCGGGTGGCAGGAGAGGTCTGCGTGCCATGTGGGACCCTCCTCCGGTGGCTGGGGAGTAGCCAGGGATCGAACTGGTGCCGCAGAGGCTGTGGGCAGCTTCGCAACCCAGTGCTCAACCGCTGCGCCACTGGGAAAGCCTCTGATTATTTTTCTTATCAACATTATAACTAAATAACATTTAATGAACTGATGCTATGGGAGGATCTGTGATTGTAATATGACTGTGGGAATTTTCTCAAGACCAATTGATGAGTTCTTCTGGTGGGAAATATTTAGGAATATTCCCTTCCCAAAGTAAGAAACCATAATCTCACTTATGGGAGCAATTCCTATTGTCCTTCTCCACCTCTCTCCATCTACGTGGGCTCACACATACACACACACACACACACACACCACCCTTTATATGAACATGCTCATTATTTGAACATATATCTGTTCTCTTCTGGACAGAAATGCTGCAAGTTAGCATATGGATGTTAAATGTAAACGCAAATGTAATTACTATAAGTTTCTAAATTACACAACTTGCAGTTTATAACGTAAGCTGAGCAGAACTGCATATCTACTCCTCCCACGGGGAGTGTGCATTCTTGGTAACTAGAGGTGCCATTCAGTCATGGCCTTATTGGACAATAGTGTGCTGACAGACTCCCCCCCACCCCCACACAGGCAGCACTGTGAGGTGCTGTTTGACTTTCCAAGGGTGAGAGACACTGGGCTGGTCACCGATTGATTCACTGGCCTCAGGACAGGGCCAGAGCTGCCACATCACCTGAGTGGATGGGGCTGTGGACACTTTTTCTGGGACTAGCAACAGGTCTTGCAGATGTGGCCTCTCAGCAAATGCTTCTTGAGAAATGACTAGAATGAATGAGCACTGAACAATGCAAAGGTGGACAGGACTAGCCAAGATGTTGGGGATGACTCCAACCTGTGTGGGAATCCAAGTTCCTCCACTCTCATGGGCAAGGTATTTATTCTGTCTTGAGTTTGTTCTTTCAAGAATGTGTCATTTGCAGCAACATGGATGGAGCTGGAAGGGATTATGCTCAGTGAAATAAGCCAGAGAGAAAAAGAAATATATTGGGTGGTTATACTCATAGGAGGAATGTAGAGGAACCAAGTAAGGGATCAGGAAAAAAAAGTAATTATAATAAATAAAAAATCAAAATCAATACGCAACTATAAATCAGAGACATTCTGCAGGGGAAGAGGAGAGAGAGGGCTCAAAACAGGGGAGGGAAGAGCACAAGGGACTACGGTGATGGGTCACGGGTGAATTGGTGGTGGGAATTTCACGGGGACTACACCTGAGAGAAAGCGTACATTGTACAAAGATGAAGAATGCTGTAAAAAATATATAAAATTAATAAAAAACAATGTGGTAAGGATCAAATATTACACTTGTAAAGTGCTTACATTATGTTCTCAGCAGGTATATGATGAATGCTAAATGAATGAGTACCTTTTATTTCTATATCATGTTTAGATGATTGAAAACATCTTTTTTTTTTTTTTTAAGATTTGTTTATTTATTTATACAAGCACTGGGTACAGTCAGAAGCGCGGGAGGGTGAGAGAATTCACCAGAGCCAGAGCGGGGAGCAGAGCAGGCAGAAGGACCAAAGTACACTGCTGAGGGGAGCAGCGGGCACGGCAGGAGAGGTCTGTCGCGCCATGTGGGACCCTCACCCGGTGGCAGGGGATTGAACAGGCGCTGCAGAGGCTGCGGGCAGCTTCGCAAGCCAGCGCTCAACCGCTGCGCCACCAGGGAGGCCCGAAAACATCTTTTATTTAAGTACCCTTAATCTGAAATATAACCTGAGAGATCATTAAATAGTTACCAGAAAGTTTTAGATATATTAATGAATTAAAGATCTGTGCTGAATAGTCTAGTCATGATGTTAATTAACAGTGGTGACCACAGCATTTACTGTTCTCACTGACTCACTGTGCATCTTGTCTGGTACTCGGGACCTGTCATGGATTGCTTCATTGCTTTTACAACAGCTTGGTGAGGGACGTGCATTACACCTTTGCTTTACAGGCAAGGAAACTGAGAGTCAGGGTCCTGGTGGCGCAAGGGGTTAAGCATTAGCGCTATGACGCTGTCCACAACACTGCAGCACGAGTTCGAGTTCATTCCCCTGCCAGGGAGTTAACCCACATGGCGTGTCAGACCTCTCCCGTCTTGCCTGCTGCTCCCCTCAGCAGTGTATTTCAGTCAGTCTGCCTGTTCTGTTCCCCATTCTGTCTCTGGTGAATCCTCTCACCCCCCACACCATTGACCTGCACCCCAGCTTTTGTATGCATAAATAAATCTTTAAAAAAAAAAAGAAAACAGTCAGACAAATTAAGGGGCTGTGCAATCATACACCTTACATATGACAAGTCAAAGCTCAAACTCAAGTCTTCCCCATCACAGACACCAAGTTGCCAAACTTTTCACTGCTTTCCACAAAATCATAACTTTGAACCCAAGGAAACCACACATAAACACACATCTTTTTATGTTTTATTTGGATTTCTTGGTTCAAGAATTACACACTAGCCAACATTATTATATATTTACATGCTGGAACTGGTTGTAATAAGTTTAAATTCAAGAAAATAATTCTTATGTGCTACTCATTTATAATCCTCATTTTTTACTATCTCGTGTATCCCAGAGATTTTAGTAGTCCTGTTTTTAGAAAGACATGAAAATAGATGCAATGATATCCACTTGTGGTCTGCATTTTCTAGCCATTGGAAAATGTGCATTATGTGCATATTAAGAAAGGCTACAAGGTAATTAGTAAGGCTGATAATCACTACATTGTGAAGAAACTCCAATATCACTTTTTTAGAAAAAGACAATTGAGAACTGTGCAGGGACAATATTCATAACAGAACTATTTAAACACCCATGCAAATAAAAATTTTAAAAAGTTATGGAATTTAAATCATTTGCAACTTTGAATTATGTTAAAAAGAACCCTGGTTGAACTCGAATTTTGAACTGAAAGGGAAAAGAAACAGCTGATCAGACTGCTGACTTGCTTCGGATAGAGAAGGACACACAGGGCTGTCGGTCACTGGACATGGGCGAGGAGAGAGACATTTGGTTTTGAAAGCTAAGAAACAGAAAGTTTTCTTTTTCATCACTTTGAAACATATTTATTTTACCACACACACAAAAATTCTCAAAGCAAATGAAAATTTGATGTCATAATTGTGTATATATCTACAGAAATGTGTTATTTCAATTTCCAAATAACTAACATTTAAGAGTGCTGTTGCTTTTTGAAAAATTATTTCTTCAGGGCTGTACCATAATTACCATTCTGTTGGTTCCTTACTAAATTTTACAATGTCCCTAGTGTATTTGGAAAATATTTTTAAACCTTTGGTGTGAAGCAGTGTCTTTATTTTTTCCCCCATTCTAGAGTCTTTGGTTGAAAGGAACAATACTACCTAAGGACAAAATGCTATTTTGTTTTTTTAAAAAAAAAGATCTTCTACTATGTATCATGTGTAGCTAATTCCTGGAGCAAGTGTGAATAATAAGCATTTTTATTTCCTGTAGTGCCATAATTATAAATTTTTACTCTTTGAAAATTGAGATTTAATTTACAACCTGTGGTCTCTTGAACTGACATATAAAAAACTTTTTGTCGGTGATCATTTCTGCTTTTCCAAATTGCCATTCCTCAGGCTATATTTTGATTGTTACATGGACTACATAAGTTGTTACATAAGCACTACCGAGTTTCCATAGAGGGGTTGAGAGTGAAAGAGCAGGCAAGTGAGGGTGTGTGTGTTTGTGAGTGTGTGTGTATGTATGTGAGAGAATGTGTGTGTGATAACAAATTGAAACCCTTCTGTCTGGGATCCCAAATCACTGATGCAAAAGGGTGTTTAAATTACTCTGCTGGGGCACTGCAGTAACTGTACTTAGTAAAAAATAAATAAAAATGAAGAATGAGAAAACGAAAACAATTATTTGTGTCTACTTACTATTCCTTTACAGCATATTTGACTATTTACATAATATTATAACACATCAACGTAAGCCATAAACAGAATTAGCACATTGCCTTACCATAAAATACAAATTAGAAGTTAAAAATATTTAAGAAATCTGTTTTAGTATTTACACACGCTCGGAGAAAGTCATGGCTGCTCACGTTACGTAGACTCTGTACACTTAGCAAAATGGCACGGCTGCTACAATGGAGAGCATTTGCCCAGACCAACATGGTGGGCTTTGGATTTTTTTTTCCTTTTCCTAGGATGATTTTTTTTTTTACATAATTTTTTATTTCCTTAAGACATTTTAGTTTTTAAATCACCAATAGACAATGTTGTTTCATTGAAAAAGAGAGCAAGTAGACAAGCAATGGGAGAGCTAGTTAATTTCTGACGTTCTGAGGTACAGTAACTAATGTGGCGTCGAACTGCACGGTGGTCCATAAGAACGGTAGGCATTGAGTTGCTGATAGAGAAATGTTCAGTACCCTGTATTACTTGTTCCATTATGTTGATCTGTTGGTCGCCAAATTAAAAAGGCTCATACACTGTTTAATGAAGGAAATAAAACATATTAGCTTATTCCTTTTATTTTCCAACATATGAACGCATATATATGTATGTCTGTTTTATGGACCTGTATATACACATATATACATTAGATATGTTGTAAGACCTGTTGTTTGTTGATTGTTCTGCTGTTTTTGTTGATGAGCATGAAGTTCATCATAAAACTGGAACACAGTTACCTATAGAAAATGGAAATTGTCTTAGATGCCAATTTAATGCAGGTCTTTCTTGAAATAAACATGATTTATTTCCCCATTATGTAGTCCACTGAACTTTCTCTATGTGTTGTGCTTTTGTTGGCTGACAGATTTTTTTTTGTTTGTTTGTGTGTGTGAATGTTCCTAATGCTAGAATGCAAAGTCTTTTGGTTCATAAACCATTTTTATTATTTTTTTACTTAGCACTGCTTTTGAAGAAATGAGAATAGGTCTAGATGGCACTGCTTAAGTCTTGTCCCTGTTATTAAATTGCAGTAGAAAGAATTGTAACATTCCTTATGCAAACACATGATTATGTTGCATGAGTTTTCAATTCTGAGAATGCATTTCATACCTACTAGCAGTCATGTACAATATATATACATATTTAGATCAAAGGTTTCATTTAGACTGTGCATTTTAGAGTCAGAATTTGCCTATGAATTTCACAAAGATGAAAAAACACCTTAATTGCTGGCTATCTGGCTACTTTATAATAAAAAGAAAAAACTCTACATATATGTATAAATTGATAGCAATACCATATCAGAATTGCCAAAACACACTTTTGTGGTCCTTAATTTTAACCACTGGCTATCCAGCTGACTGGTCACTTACATAATCTAGCACCCTTCCAGGGCCCTCCCCCGACGTGGTGACTACAATGCAATTCAACTACAGTAAACACAGAGCATAAGAATAAATTCTACATCAACTGTTATCTCTAGGCAGGATGAGTGAGCTGTTTCTACCTACATGGTTACTGAATGCCATGTTCCAAGGTCCCATTCCAGCACATCTGTTCCAAGGTCCCATTTTTCTTTTATATTTTTTCCTTATCACCGAGAAAAGAAATAAAGCCTATGTCATATGCTTTTGAGATTCATGCTACAAAGTTGCTTCTTTCCACATTGAGCTAAATTACTGACTTTCCGGGACATCAGAATTTTGTTGTAACCATAAATGACAATATCAAGGATTTTTATGGCTTTTACGATAATCGCAAATAAGAGCCCACTTCTATAGAACTGGGCTCTGAGTTGTCTCCAGAAAAGACCTTTCCAGAATGGCATTTGGGAATTGTGCACCTGAGTTATTGATATGCTCTTGTCTGATGTTTTCTATTTAAACTTGACCTCCTGACAAGGGCAAGGCGCTTTTATTAGTGTGATGCCCATGTACTTGCCTAGGAGAAAGAGTGTCCCTAGAGAAACTGGAGGAATTTCTACTCTAAGCCCATGGGTAGAAACTCAGCTGGATTCTGCCCAAAGAGCATCTATTCAGAGGTGTTCAAGTGCATTAATGTAACACAAGGGCCATAGTTTCCTAAGCTGGTGAACAACAAAATACTATCCCATATTGGGACAAATTCAAGAAACTGAGTGTTAAACCTTTTAGATGTTGTTGTGCTCTAAAAGTTGGAATGGAATAGCAGGATTCCATCACATTCCAAGCTACTAAATTATCAGGGGAAGAAAAACATACCTTTATTCACAGGCAAATACTGGCCATACTTACTTTGCCCAGTTAAGGAAGCTACTCTAAAGTGTGATTGCTTTTTTTTTTTTAATAGATAGCAAAGTCATCTTCTGAGAAAAAGTTTCAGCAAATCTAATTTAAGGAAATTTGAGCAATTTGTTATTTTCTTCAAGTAAAGCAAAATATGAACCTTACACCAATAGAAATATATTAGCTTATTCTCTTTTCTGCCCAACATGTGAATGCATCTGTCTGATTAGTATAGATAGAAACATGAAGACATCATTGAAAAAACAGAGTAAGAACCATATATCAATGCCTGCCTGGTGATCAGTCATATAATTTTCTGCATTGTCAATGGAGGCTCGTCACAGACATCACGTTAATGTGGCCTTGTAGTCATCCTATGTTCTACTAGTTTCCATGCTTCCCTTCCTTAGGCAGACTGTGGAACCACAAGCAGCACACCCCTGAAAATGCTAACCCAACAAACCCACAAACTGACTTGTGAACATCATCCTTGAAGTCTTGTTTGCTATGCAAAAGACTAAGGTGAATTTCCTTGCACATAAAGCAATACAGCTCACTCTGCCTTACTTAGTCTGTCAACCAAGAATATAAACAGAATTTTAGCAGGAAGAAAAGGTGGACAGGACCATTAAAACCTTAAAGGAACAAATTCTTCTTTTAACATGTCCTATTAAATTAATAAATAAACTTAAGAGGGAAAGGTTGCAGAGACAGCTGGTGTCGTCTAAAAAAAGCAACCTGTTTGTTAGTGTCATCTGTGGTCTGCATTAGTCTAGTTGAATGACTTCCAATGTAGCCAACATCAAACACACTTCTAATTTTTCTAGCTACTATTATTTTTTTTGGGTTTTGTTTGTTTAGTAAACAATGAAATATTATTTAGCATGCTTGTGAGGTTGGAAGTAAAAAAAAAAAAAAGAACTGTCTCCTTCTACCTTTGCCACTGAACACAGTATGAAAAGACCAGAAGCATGGGGCTGAGAAGGGTGGTACTGCTGGCTTGTTCAAGTTTGTCACAACAGTCCTTTCTGGATTTCCCAATCTGCCCTGGGTTGTTAACCTTTATTTCAACCACCCAGAAAACAGCTTGTTAGAAAAACTTCTTTGGCCACCATTCATGATACCATTCAGAAGTCTCCCCATCTCTAAATGCCAAAATGGAAAATGTCATGGGCTTAGGCAAACAGAGACAGGTCAAACTGGTTTCCTGAGTCTCGGTCTGGATATTCCCTGTCCTGTGTGATCTACATGAGAACCTTCTAGAATCCAGTGGGAATTATCTTCCTGTCATGCCATCATCACCGTAACAAGATGGGTCTAGAGCAGCCTCAGCAAGTATGGTAGATAGTGCCTTATAAGCACAGTGCCATCTCAATAGCAGCCGACCTTGAGAATAAAGATGGTAAGGATCTGGACATGTCCACTTCTCAGTGAAATGACTGACCATGCTACTGAGCCTTCTAAGAATAGCTTGAAATAATCCCTTTCTCCCCAGGCTGCCTACTAAGCAGACATATGCTCAGATTCCGTCTTGCCTGCACGTGCGCCAATCACTTGCATGGTAACTGGAATGCCACAAGGACCTGAGTGTATCTGTTACTTAGCAGAAGCAACCCAAATGGTATGGAATGGACCAGAGGATAGGCCAGCAACTAAGGTATTTTAGCATCCCTTTTGTCCTGGATGAATGTGTTTTCCAAGTCCTACATCAGGCTGTACAACTGATTTGAGGAGGAATCCAGTCCTTGCTTCCCAGGGGAGGCTATGTTTTAGTTCACATAGTAAAGCCAATAGACGATGTTGAAGAAGGAAAAAACCACCGGGAAGAATATGCGGGACCACCGGTCTATGGCGTTCACATCAGTCAAGTCGGGGATGGTGATTTTCAGCTGGGAGGCGCGTCTCCGCAGGCGGCTTTTCTTCTGTGCCATGTGTCGTTCTAGAGCGTTTCGGCCAAAACTGTGCCTGGGCAGCCCGGCTTTCCGGTACTGGATGCTGGAGGCATCGTAGGCTAGCATGGTGCTCCTGGGGTCTCCAAGCCCCATCACCGCCTCCGAAGTGGCCATCTCATTCTTTATCTCCAGGGTGCTCAGCAAGATGTTCTCATGAGGGTCCATCTGTGAGGGAGAAGAATCGAATCAGACAATCAAAAGAGGAAGTTGATTTATTTACTTATTTTTAATTGAAACGCTGGTTTACAACACTGTACATGATTCAGAGGTATAGGGTCACACATTTTTACATGCTTCATTTCTCTCATCTTACATAATTCCTTACATCTTTTTTTAAAAAAATTGAAGTAGAGTTGACATACTACTTTATAGTAGTTTCAGGTGTAAGACATAATGATTTGACATTTTTGTCAATGCAAAATGATGGCCATGGTGTAAGTCTCTGTCCCACGTATTCTCAGTCGGTTTTTAAATTGGCGATCCAACATGACTGCCTCTGGACACCATGTGCACACCACATTCCTGCGACTTATTTATTTTATAGCTGGAATTGTGAACCTCCTCGTTCCTTCTACCCATTTTACCCCCCATCCCTCCTCTCTGGTAACCCCCAATCTGTTCTCTGGATAGCTGAGACTATAAAACAATAAGCCTTTCTTGGTCCTTTTTTTCCATTTTTATTGTTTGTTAGAATTTATTTATTTTTTATTTTTGTAATTTTTTAATGAAGGAACATTGCATTATAACATTATAAGGCTTTCAGGTATGCATCATTCAAAACCAACCTGTGTACACGCTGCCTTAAGGTCACCATTACAAGTCCGAGTCTAGCTTTCCTCGTATCATTGTTCCCTTTGTCTTGATTTCCTCATCCCTCTTCCCTTTCTCCTCTGGAACCACTCATTTCGTCTCACAGTGTAAAAGCTTGTGTTTTTTTTTTTTTATTTACTTCATTCATTTGGCTTCTTTGTATACCCCTTAAAAGTGAAAGCACATGGTGTTCATGCTTCTGTCTGACTTTCTCACGATGTGTAATATCCTCTAGGTCCATCCAGGTTGTTGCAAATGGCAGAATTTCATCTATTTTTCTTTATATAGCTGATTAGTTTTCCATTGTATAGACATTTCACCTCTCTTTATCCCATCATCTGTTAATGAGCACTTGGGTTGTTTCTAGTCCCTGGCTATTGTCAACAGTGCTATCATAAATATGGGGGTGCACATATCTTTCCAAATTGCTGCCTTTCTAATTTTTTTGATAAATATCTTAAAGTGGGATAACTGGATCATATGGAATTTCTCTTTTTAACTTTTTGAGTACACTTCAGATTGGTCTCCTGTTGGCACATATGCACAGGGCACTATCGCATGTGGTTGAAGTAGTGTCCACTCAGTGGTTAAGAGAACTCTCTTTGCAGTCAGTTATCTAAATCTGAATTATGACTCTGCCACAAAAGCTATGTGAATTTCAGTTTCTTCATTTAGTAAATGAACATAAAAATCCAACCCCATAGGAATTGCTGTAATTATAACAGACCATTCCAAGTACCTTTTCTATTATTTCTACTTAGGATATGCAGGTAATAGATCATAGGATATACAGTCTTGTAAGGTTGGCCTGGGTTCAAGCCCCATCACACTGGTCAAGTCTATCAAATTCCGTAAGTCTGTTTGCTCACTCAGGGCTACTGTCAGGATGACATGAGACGATACTCAGGAAAACTGCACAAGGACTCTTCTCAGTAAGCTTTCAATAAAACGTTTTCTTAGTGAAGTTAGTCAGTTCATAACTTGATATAAACAAATAATAATTAAACTCTATTAGGTATGAAATAGTTTTAGGGGATTAATTACTGATCTATGCCCACAATTGTCATCTAATTACAATGACTTAATGATGAAACTAGATCTAAAAACAGTAGGTAACATTTATTAAACACATACTACATGGTTTTCTCTATATACCATATATTCTCTTTATATTTGTGATATATACCAGAAACCTTTATTTAATCACATCATTTAATGAATGCTTAAATGTGCAGGGTCAATATAATAAGGTGTAAGCATTCTGAACACAAGGGAGGGAAGAAAACAAGGGACTACAGCAGTGGTTCACGGATGATATGGTGATGAGGGAAATAAGGTGACTACACCTGAGGGAGAAACTAATTACTATAAAAAATGAACAATGATTAAGAAAATAAGTGTAGAAAAAAAGAATAGTTTTGAATAACATATATGTAGGCAATATGTGACCTGTCAAAATGCAGTAGAATTTGAAAGTAACACATGGACAGACTGTGGACGTGGAGGGGTGAGTGGGTGAGAGACTGACTGGAGAGGGAAGAAAAGAAGACAGAACTAGCAAGAGAGCTTTCTGATACCGGGGAGGGGTCTGTGGTGGCCAGGCGCATAGGGCGACCCTTTCTCTCTTAGATGATGCTTCTTGGCAATTAAAACTAAAGGATAAATGCTGGTATTATGAGTGTAATTATTGAATGATTATGTATTGTTTTTTGTTTTATTAAGAAGGAAAGATTTGTGTGTCTTGTTTTTAAAAGGCCACAATTGCTATAGATAATAAAACCTAGCTGTAACACATTATCATTAATAAGAGAGTATATTTATTTTGGTAGAGTCAGGATATACCAATTACCAGTAAATTATTAAATAAAGGAAAAGATAACCAATGATGAGTGCTGAAGATATATGGAAGCAAGCACTATAACCAAACACTTAATTGGGAGATACAATACTTTAAGCTTTATGAATTATGCAGAAGGCAAAAAAGAATGTTGCTAAGATTATATATTAACAATTAGCTTTCAGATGTGCTTTAATGACCCTGTATTATAAATTCAAATCTAACATGTTTTTGAGAAATAGAAGCTATAAAATATGCTGGGACATAATAATTGACCAATTAATCTCTACCCACGAATCGGACATTGTGTCTGTTTGGTTTATGGTAGCATTTTGCTTAGTAGAAATATTAAACAAGTATATCTTTAAGATTAATTTTAAAAGTGGGTAAGATTTAGAAGTGAACCCCCATAAATGTTGAAACACTTCTATCAAGGAAGAGGCAGGAAACAGCTCTGCTGATGGGTTCAGTGGCCCCCATGAGGAAAACAAATATTTCATGTCATCTATTGTGTGTTAGTGCCTTGCAGAAACTGACTCACTGAAGGCTCACAACCATCCTTTGAGAAGGAATCTATTCCCTAGGCTGTAGGTGAGGGTTTTACCAAATATCCCAAAGTCACATACTTACAAAATGGTGGAGTGTTATTTATGGGGGGCGTGGGGGGCAGGGGTGTGATTTTCCAACATTATGAAAAAGCAGAGCTCGTGGAAGTGAGAACCCTCTCATCCCCTGTTATTTCATAATTGTAATTTCTGGTTCTGCTCTGAGTGGTTGCCAAAAATTTAACTACTCAGGAATTAGCATTTTGGCAAAAATTTCCTGGACCACTCTGTGTGACGATGACCAGGATATTTGCCTTTCTGTTGAGCAAATGTAATAAGGACAGTTAGGAATATACACCTGACCTGACTGAGTTAAAATCAGAAACCAATGGCAAACATAATAAATGTAATGGACCGAGCTAGTAGTAAGAGAACCTGTTCTAAATTTAGAACAAATGATTCTTGGATAATTCACATTTTCTTTGTGGTTTTTATTTCCTATGAAATTCAAGATTTGAAAGATCATCCCTGAAACCTTTATATTTATTTATTTATTTATTTGTTTGTTTGTTTGTTTGTTTATTTTACCTCACAACTGGAAACAGGTATTGATTGGGAATCATTGTGTATCTATGCTGGGTCAAATAGCATGACCAAAGTGGTGAGGGAGGTGGTGTGTCTACTGGTTTCCATGACACTCACAGTTTCCAGAAAGGTTATTGGATTTGGAGCCAAGAGGTTGGATTCTACCTCCTCCCTTGTTATTTCTGACCTTGGAAAAGGGAGTCAGTTCCTGTAAATCTTGGTTTCTTTGACTGTAGCAATCGGGTTTGGAGAAATTAATGGAGATTGAATAAATGGGAAGAACTTGGGAAAGCAAAGCCCTATGAACACTGGTGGCTTGGCATGCTATGAATCCAGCAGAGTAAATACAGACTTGTATGATGGTAAAACACAATTAGTACCTATGCCCCAAGGAGGAGGAAGTTGGTTGCTCTTGTAGTATCTGAGTGGATATGGGTGATGAGCTTTCTGTGGGTGAGCATGCTCATCTTAAGACCAGTGGGGATAGATATTTAGAGGCTGAAGTAGAGAGTGCAATGGGGGTGAGGTATACTGAACCTCTGTATCCATTTATGAAGCACTACTCCTGGGTATCTATCTTATTGCCTCAGGACACTTCATTTTCAAAATAGGATACTCAAACAGTCTCATTTCTAATAATTACTAGTCAAGGAATAAACTAACCTGATAAACTAATAAAAAATTTAATAACGTTTTCTCAAAGGTCCCATAACCATGCAGCTGTGCAGTGAAAAGGGACAAAGTATATCCATCTTTATTTCTCATTTTCCTCTCACTTAACAGAGACATGGAGAAGGCTCAGTCTGGCTGTGGCTTACTGGTTGTATATCAGAGTGAAAACCTGAGGTACTCCTCTCATTGTCCTGCCCTGTTCTTCACTGAAGGACCAGTGTTCTACATCTTTGTCTTATCTTCTTCCTACAAAGTCTCCCACATATGCCAACCTTCTTTACAAACCTCCCCAAAGGTTAGTTGGATCCTTCCCCTGACAACTGTTTATTTTGGAAGTTTACAATAGTGGTGGAATTAGCATCTGGGACTATGTCTGTCTTCCTGTTAGAGGAGGAACGATATCATGCCTACTTGTTCTGATTCTTCTTTTTTTTTTTTTTAAGATTTATTTATTTATTTATACATGCACTGGGTACAGTCAGAGCCACGGGAGGACGAGAGACTTCACCAGAGCCAGAGCAGGGAGCAGAGCAGGCAGAAGGACCAAGTACACTGCTGAGGGGAGCAGCGGGCGGCAGGAGAGATCTGCTCGCCATGTGGGACCCTTACCCAGTGGCCAGGGGTGGAACTGGTGCTGCGGAGGCTGCGGGCAGCTTCGCAACCCAGTGCTCACCCGCTAAGCCAGCAGGGAGGCCCTTTGTTCTGATTCTTGACTC